CAAAGCTCTCTGAAATCCACCCAAGACAGGCATCAAGGGCAAATAATCTGCAGCTGAATGGCAGCTCCACACCAAGCACAATACTCTGGCTTAACTTTGGAATTCAACAAAGACATCGAGTATTTACTGAGCACGTACTTTGTGCCTGGGCCTGGGAATACAACCATGAACACACATGCCACAGTCTCTGCCCCTAAGAAGTTTCCAAATAAGCAAACGCATACAATACCAGGCCTGGTGGTGATAAGTACTACAAAGAAAATGCAGTCCAAGGGTTCAGAGATCTGAAAAAAAGAGAGAAGCTGCCAGGGGCCAGGACGGACGTTCCAAAGCAGAGGAAATGGCAAGCACAAAAAAGACCCAGAGGCAGGACCGTGTCTGGGAGTTCAAGGGGCAGCAAGCAGGCTGGTGTGGCTGGAGCAGAGTGAGGGCAAGGAAGCTGGGGGTCTGGGAGCCCTGGAGGCCTCCTGTGTCATTCCAAGTGTGACAGGAAGGCTCAAGGCAGGTTGAGCCCAGAAGTGATGCGATTAATATTTAACGGTTCGTTCTTGCTGCCAAATGGAGAGCAGACTATGGGGCAAGAACAGAGAAGCAGGGAGACCAGTCAGGAGGCCACTGCACCCTCGGGCGGGAGGTGAGAATTGGATGCAGTCAGGACACGCTGGACGAATATCTTCTAAATGAGTGAAAAGAGAGCTCACAGCTGCACGGAGTACAGCCTCCCAGAGTACTGCATGGGGAGGGAAATGTGACAGTGCAAACATGGGAGCATGACCTCCACCGACAATCAAGGTCAAAGTCACAGGTTAGTCATGTTAATGGCCTGTACCCTGCATAGGATGTCACAACAGCAGCACTTTACCTCTGCGGTCTTCCTCCCCAAACCCTTACCCCCAGTCTAACCATACGAAAAACATCAGACAAATCCCAAGAGAAGGACATTCTAAAAAATACCCAACCAGTGCTCTTCAAAACTGTCAAGGTCATCAAAATCAAGGCAAGTCTGAGGAACTGTCACAAATAAGAGGAGTCTAAGGAGCCGTGACAACTAAATGAAACGTGGGTCCTGGATGGGATCCTGGAGCAGAAAGACACTGGGTAACAACTAAGGAAATCTGAATCAAGTACAGACTTCAGTTAATAATCATTTATTAATACTGGATATTCGGTTGTGACAAATGTACCGTGGAAATGGAACATGCTAACATTAGGGGAAACCATACGGGGTATACAGACAGCAGCTCTCTGCACACCTCTGCAACTTTTCTGTAAACCTAAAACTCTTCTAAAATTGAAAGATTTCTTTTTTTAAAGGACAGAGAGGCCCAGCCAGCGTGGCTCAGCGGTTGAGCATTGACCTAAGATCCTGGTGATCGCGGTTCGATTCCCGGTCAGGGCACATGCTCGGGTTGTGGGCTCGATCCCCAGGGGGGCGTGCAGGAGGCAGCTGATCAATGACTCTCTCATCATTGATGTTTCTATGTCTCTCTCTCCCCTTCTCCCTCCTCGCTCTGAAATCATTAAAGATATTAAAAAAAAAAAAAAGACAGAGAGGCCCCGCAGCATTTGCTGAGAGATCAGATGTGGAAACAGGAGAATGTCAGGGGTCACAGCCGTTGTTAGGCTTTCGAGTGAAAAAGCGGGTGAACGCCGGTGCCAGTGACGGATTGGGAAACACTGATGAGGGTGCGATTTAGGAGATGAAGTCAGAACTCTTCCAACACTCCCTTTCTACCCCGCGGACATGTGAAATACAGGTACAGATACAGTTATTACCCAATCTCTTTTATTTCTACTCTTGTAAAAACTTGTTTTTGTAAAACAAAGAAGGAAAGAAAGAAGGGAAGGGTAATTAAGGAGCTGAAACTTTTTCATTTGCTTCTGGGAAGATGCTGAATTGCCCACTTCCCGTTCCATTACTATGCATCACAAACGCAGATGTCTCTCCAACTCCACAGGCTCACAAGGTCTTTGGCAGTAAAAACAGCACCAAAGTCAATGCTTCCAACAGCATCTTAGAAGAATCACTTTCAAATCCAAAGCAAGAGAAAAATCTGCATAAGCATAACTGACTCCCTTAATATGCCTGATATCATTAGTGTTATGACAGATTTCTCTTATCTAAGCAATGAATGAAAGTCCATGATCTTAAATCCAAAAGCTTTTCTCATCATAATCATTGAAACCTTTTTCCCAAATTTCATTAAATTTTTACTTTCCTAAATTTTTAATCTTCATGAATATTTTCTTTTCCTATGAACAATAAACCTACAGGGCAGAAATGACCGGTGTTCTTAATTCCACAAGGTAGGTAACATGGAATAAAGGAGAGGGCATATGCACCTTGGACACGGACAGATCTAAGCTCAAATCCGGTTTTGCCTCCCTCTGGTCTCGTGGCCTTGACCTACTGGCTTAGTTTCCTCAACAGTCCAACAGAGACAGTATCTATCTACAGGGCTGTCACACAGATTAGAAATAATAAAGCCAGAATTTGAACCCCAGCAGTCAGGTTCTAGAACCTGTGCTTTTGGTACCCAGCAAGCAAGTAGCAGACGGTGCTGTTGCTAATGACCTTGAGTTTTTTGTTTTGTTTTGTTTTGTTTTTTTGTTTTGTGTGTTTTTTTGGTTAATCTCACCAGAGGATATTTTTTCCGTTGCTTTTTCGGAGAGAGTGGAAGGAAGGGAGGAAGAGGGGGAGCAGTAGGGGGGAGGGAGAGAGGGGGCAAAACATTGATGTGAGAGAGCCACATCAATTCGCCTCCCATAGGTGCCCAGACCAGGGGCGAGAGCAAACCCACAGCCCTTTGGGGCATGGGCCGACGCTCTAACTACTGAGCCACACCAGCCAGGGCAATAATGGCCTTCGTTTTGTGAGTGATATCAGAGTCACGGCATATGACCTAGGACTAGCCACACCACACCCCTTCAGCTCGACCTCCCAGTGGGGTGCTGGAGAGGTGGTGCAGGGTGACAGATGGGAGAGCAAGGGCAGGACCACCTAGGTCTCATTCTGCTTCCATCCCTGCAGTCGAGGGAAAGAACCGTGGGTTAGACAGAACAGAGTCTCTTGAACAAACAGAGAACTGCTGTTGGACGGCAAGTGGCTGGACGGGCTGATAACTGGTAAAGTGGCCATAACCAAAAGAAGATGGCCGATGGCTTAGTGGCAGAGGTCAAGTTATTTTTGGCAAATACCATTTCTGCATTTTAAAATAGGACAAGATGAACTGCTTATTAAATCCACTGATAACCAAAAGCTGAAGGGACTATATTGCATCAAAAGGTGAGGATCTGAAGCTAATGGAAACTTTGGCAACATTAATCAAGCTCTAATATCCAGAACCTGGGAGGTGATGGTCTCCCTCTATTCCACACCAGTCAGACCCCCACCTGCTATAACATCTCCAGTTCAGGGTCTCACATGTGAGAGGCATAAACCAGAGCACACACAAAAGAAGGTGACCAAGATGACAAAAAGAAGCCAAATGAGAATGGTTGAAAAAACTAAGAATGACCAGCCTAGGAAAAGAGAAGTCTTGGCGGACATAATGGCTGATCTGTACAACACCCAACCTAAGTCAAGTTTTAGGTTTCTAGCTACTCACATTCTACCTCGCACCCCACCCAGCCCACCCTTGCTAACAAACTCCTTTCAGACTCCGCTGAAATATCACCTTCCTTGATGTTTTCCCAGTTCCCTCAGGCAGGGAAAGTTGCTCCAACCATGCTCCACACATCCCCCATCTCTGGTCGGGTGTCTGTAGAGGCGTCCACCAGGCGGCTTCCTAACTCATCTGCCTGTGTGACTGACTCCCCCAAGGGACTGTCGGGTCTCCAGGGGCAGGACCTGGTCCTCCCCACCTCCAGCCTCCCTGCTTCTGTTATAGGGCTTGACACAGAAGAGGCACTTGGTAAAGGTTTAAGGGCTGTGGGAAGGGATGCAGGAAGAAAAGAGACAGAGGGCGAAAGCTCTGTGAAGGCAGAATTATCCAGCCCGTGGAAGAATCTCCCCAGATCAGAACTGCCTCTCGGAGGAATGCCCTCAGGTCTGAGACGGAGATTCCTGCGGCTCTTTGCGGGATGCTGCGGGGGTCCTCCAAGGGCAACCTCTGAGGATGCTTCTCTTCCTGGCTCTGGAAATGTGTACTCAAAGCAGACCAGAGAATCACATGCTAGGTGTAATTTCCAAGCCTTGTAAATAATAAACCTGTATCTTTTCCAAGGTTCCTGATGGTTACTGCTGAAGGGTGTCTTGTAATTGTAATAAGAACCACAGGGGCTGGTCCAGCCACAACACTGATCATTATAAACTGAGACCAGAACAAAACACAATGCCTATCATTTGAAGAATTCCTTCTAACCAGAACTCAACAGGCTGCCACTTCCTGGGACGTTGGGAGAAGCTATGTCGCTACTCTGCGAGAAATGACAGCATAAACGTCTGTTAATCTCCATTAACACAGACCTAAAGGGTCTTTTAAAAACAAAACAAAACTATCTTCTGAGTATAAAGTCTCAGTCATGCAAGATAAGTAAGTGCCAAAAATCTATTATATAGCATGGTACCCATAGCAAACAATATTGTACTATACACTTAAAAACTGCTAAGAGGGTAGGTCTTATGTGAAGTGTTCCTACTACACACACACAAATAACAACAACAAAGGGGCAGAAGGAAACTTTGGGAGGTGATGGAGTTTATGGCCTTGATGGGGGTGATGGTTTCGCAGGTGTATATTTATCCCCAAACTCATGGAAATATACACATTAAATATGTACAGCCTTTTGCATGTCAATCATACCTAAATAAAGTGGTTAATTTAAAGAACTATCTCCCAGGTAGAGTCATTTGGAATGGAACAAAATCTACTCATTCATTCAGCCACAGTTTCCTAAACGCCATCTACATGCCAGGCATGAGGCCAGGTCAGCTCACGGCTGTTCTTCACACATCTAAGGGACAGGGGAGAGAGAAGGTTATGTTCCCATGCTCTTACCCGGTGCTCATTGATGAGAAGGTCCCGGGCTGCGTTAAATATCAGTGTGTGGAGGTGCTTTGAATAAAATACCAAGGTGTAGTCATAATCAAAGCCATAGATCTCGATGTCCGACAGGCTCATCTCGTTGTTTGAGAAAATGGCATCAGGATTCAGCAAGTTGCTCATGATCGAAGGAACCAATTCTAGAAGTAAAGAAAAAAGAAATGCATCATGCCATGTGATAAGTAAGGGTCATAAGTATGATTTCTAAGTGAAATGAGCAAATGGAAGTGCAAGAGCGCTCTGCTTTCCCTTGCACACGCAATGCTGAGTGAAAGGAGCCTGTCACAAAGGACCACGTGTGTGTGATTCCATTCACAGGAAATGTGTAGAACAGGCAACTCCTCACAGACAGAAAGATTGGTGGCTGCCTAGGACTGTGGGGTGGGGAGAAACAGAGTGACTGCTAATGGGTGCAGAGTTTCTCCTTGGGGTGATGGAAATACTCTAAAATTGATTATGGCGATGTTGAAGAGCTGTTGTGAATATACTAGAATCCTGAATGGGAGACTTTAAGTGGTTGAATTGTATGGTATGTAAACAATATCTTAATAAAACTGCTATTAAAACAGAATATTAGCTTCAACATCATAAAAAGATCTGTTTTGTTTATAAAATAATACAGGTCAGTTACAGATTTTAGAAGATAAACAGATAATTAAACTTAAATATCAAAAATCCTGTCATCACCCAGGAAAAAAGCCATTAACATCTTATGTATCTGCTGCCAGTATTGTTGTAGATGTAGATTTTACATAGTTGGCCTCACTATGTAAAAGGCCAACTATGTAAAATCTGTGTAGACAGCTTTGTANAAGATTTTACATAGTTGGCCTCGCACTGTGTAGACAGCTTTGTACTCTGCTCTCTAAATTTCATATTCTTTCATGACTGTACTCTCCTATATTACAGACTTTCTGAGAATATNTAGATTTTACATAGTTGGCCTCACTATGTAAAAGGCCAACTATGTAAAATCTGTGTAGACAGCTTTGTACTCTGCTCTCTAAATTTAATATTCTTTCATGACTGTACTCTCCTATATTACAGACTTTCTGAGAATATAACTTTAAATTTACATAAGATTTGGGTTTACTTTGCCAAACCAACCTATTACTCTATGTCACACACTTAGGTATTTTCCTATGTTAAAAATAGCACTGCAATCAGTATCTTCCTATGTTATCTTTTACCCTTCAGATGAGTTCCTTCAGATGGGTTATGAGCAGTGTGATTAACCCCAGGGTCCCCTGGATCCAACAACAGTTTCAAGTTTCTTTTTTGAGCAGTTCTACCTGGGTAGGGATAGTTATTCCACGACTGTTAACTCTTTCCTGGAGCTTTTCCAGGAACTTATTCTACCTTACAATTTCCACCAGCCCACTTTAAAAAAAGCTAAGACGCAAAGCGCGATGTTAGTGATCTTACTTTCCCAACACCTTTAAACGCGTTTGCTATTTTATCACGGCCGAAGTTTTCATCATTTCCCATCGGCTGTCCCCACCTGCGATTCCAAGCATGAGTCCACTAAGGAAGCAGGAGGACGACGGCTGACTGTCTGAGGTGGAACGATGGTGAAATAAACCCTCACTGCACCGTGCTTCAGATCCCGCGCACGGCCCAAAGCATTACATCCGCCTCAGAAGTCTGAAGATACCACCTTTGCGGTCACTTTAGCTTCCATGGGACACAGTTGGAAAATCCTAATTTCCCATTTTCCATCCATCGTGGCAAATAATAAAACTGGCAGAAGATGAATACGAAGTGAAAGAGCATGATTCTCTAGCATCTGATGATGGAGAGAAACTGACCACAGAAGTGAAATCTTAGACTATGAGTCCTCAGTGACCACATCTGAGGTCACGCAACATGCAAGGGGGGGGCAAAGTAGGTTAATAATAATAATAGTCAATGCAATAATTAATAATACAAAAATAAACCGTTTCATGTACTCACAACTGTAAACCTCCTCTTGCCCACTCCTGTGTTTCTAAAACAAAAGGAAACCTGATATTCTCCTAAGTTCCCACAGGTAGTCACTGACCAGGAAGAACATCATGTAGTCTGTGACAGGAACACAAGCCATCCTGTTTTGCCAGAAGGACATGTAATGGCATTCTTTCACCTTTTACGATGCTTGTGCACCAGAATTTACTAGAAACAGCAGACAAATGCTGAAGGCAGGTGACTTTCTGGAGGTAGGTACAAAACCACCAACACCTGCACACAAAAACTGAACTGTCCAGAGCCTACCACTAAACAGAACTGTGTTTATATTACTATTCTTTACGTTTCTAAGGACAACCTCCCACTTCCATTGTAACAACTAATACTGATTAAGCAGTTAGCATGTACAACATGCTCTCAGAAGCACTTTATATTGCCTCATTTAATCCTTACAGCAACCTTAGGAGGCAAATACTCTAGGACCCCATTTTATATGGGGACACTAGTGACACAGAAATTTTATAATCCACTGAAGGACACACACCCACTAAATGGAAGAGCTGGGCTTTGAACCCGGGAAGTCTAGCTCCAGAATCTATGCTCTTAGCTCCCTTCCCCAGGATTATACAAATCAACAAGCCTTGGAAAACAGTGTTTGGTTTTTTCCAAAAATAAAATGGATTCAATCCGTCATAATTTTGGTGCTTTAGAGTCTACGGTGCTTCCCCTTTCCCTTCTGCTCACTTCTTTCTGACTAGGAATGGTTCACATTATCCACTTGCGTCCCAAGGGCCACCTGAAATACTCAAAAGGCACTAATCTAGCAGGGTGACAGCTACAATCAGGGGACAGTCCCAGCCACAATTCTGAGTATTTCAGAAAGCCCCTTACATCTTTGGGGCTTGGATCCCTTTGAAAACCTAACAGAAGCTATAGAATAATGCACAGGGAAGTTTTGTGGAAAATTTTAGGGAGATTGACCCCTGATGCCTGTTCATGGTCTCCAGTTAAGCTGCCTCATTACACTAACTTCAAACCAAGCCTATGCATCCCCACACAGAATTCCCCAACCAGCAACGGCAAGTACATACGTGCATGAATGAATGAATGAATGAACAGGTGAATGAATGAATGGGTGAGTGAATGTCCCACTGACAACCTAGATACGATTGACTCCACTGAAAACCCCAATAGTCAAGATTCACCAATTCTGTGTTTCCACTGATTTTTTTTTTTTGATTTTTTTTAAATATATCTTTATTGATTTCAGAGAGAGGAAAGGAGAGGGAGAGAGAGAGATAGAAACATCAATGATGAGAGAGTCATTGATCGAGCCCGCAACCCGGGCATGTGCCCTGACCGGGAGTCGAACCCCGATCGCCTGGATCCCAGGTCGACGCTCAACCGCTGAGCCACATCCGTCCGGGCTGTTTTCACTGATTTTGACAAAGGAACTAATCAGACAATAATCTTGGCTTCTTCTTTTTTTCTTTTGCAAATAAAACCAATCGGAGGACAGGAAAGAAGTAACATTTTAAGAAACCTGAAGGCAGACAGTTGACAAGAACTAGTCCTGAGGAAGGGAGAAGCCGGCAGTCCCAAGCTCTTGGGCATCTAACACCCAAGACCTCTGGCCTTCCACAATCAGATGATGCCATTTTCAGAATATGCCACGTGACACTGTCCCCACAAAGCAAGTGCAGGGGGATCACTTACAGACTGCCTACAAGCTCTCCGTTCACAGATGAACTTTCCAAGGGAAGCTCTAACAGCCTGTTTAAATAAGAAGCTTACATTTACAAATGGCCTTGGCAATGAAGCCTCTCTCCCTCTCTGCTGCCCGAGAAGAGCAAGTGAAGCTCTCAAGGAAACATGACCAGGATGGAAAATCGCTAACAGCCCGCACGCCTCCCAAAGCTGCCCAGGAATTTGCGCCCCCCCCCCCAAGCCCCCCTAAACTGAAAGCCCCAGGTGATATCAATCACATGAGCAGCAGCACCAGAAAACTGGGGCGGCTAACCTATCATCACCCAAAATAAACAGGAGAGCGTCAGAAGCTTAAAAGGGATCTCAACGCGCCCTGCAACCACTTCAGAAAAGTGCTGAAAATAAAACCAACACTTACAAGGCAGGAGAAGAGAATGCCAACCACTCAGAGAGAGAGAGGAGGCTCAACTGCAGACTGAAATATAAACAGAAGGGCTCTGACCAGTCCGTTATGTACTTTCCCAAAGCGCCAATGAGAGCAGGGATGAGCTTAGAAAGTGAATTCCTTTTGCACCTAATGGATGATGACAGCGAGACTACACAATTGTACAGAGAAACGGAGAGACAGCTCTGTTGCTCTGGCCAGAGCCCGATTCCAACGCAGCCACCGGAGCTGGAAGCCAGGTGCCTTTCAGGGGACAGTGTAGCAGATGGGACACCCACTAGCATACTCGGCAGCTTCTGGTTTTTCATCTGCTAACCCATGGAGCGCTGGGAAATGTGGAGAGCCACCTGTAGCAAACCATGTAAGCTTTCTGAGGGGCTTATTTACTCATTTTTATTGTGGTAAAATATGCATAAAATAAAATTTACCATCTTAACGAATTTTAAGTGTACGGTTCAGACATTAAGTTCATTTAGACTGCGCAACCATCAGCACATGGGTCTCCAGAACTCTTTTCATCTTGCAAAATGGAAACACCATAACCATTAAACTGCAACTCCCCACTCCTCCACCTCCCCAGCCCCTGGCAACCACCACTCTACTTTCTGTCTATGAATCTGACTGTTCTAGGTACCTCATAAAAGGTCATATCGTATCCTTTTGTTTCTGGCTTATTATATTTAGTATAATGTCCTCAAGGTTAATCCATGTCATAGCACGGGTCAGAATTTCTTTCCTTTTGAAGGCTGAGTAATACTCCGTGGCGTGTGTATCCCATATTTTGTCTACTCACCCATAGATGGTGGACATGGGTTACTTCTGCCCCTTAGCTACTATGAATGATGCCGCTGTGCACGTGGCTGTACAGATATCTCTGTGGGCCCTGTCTCACTTCTTTAGAGTATATGCCCAGAACAGGAATTGCTGGATTTCATAGTACTTTTGTTTTTCATTTTTTGAGAAACCGCCATACTGTTCCATAGCCACTGTACCATTTTTAATTTTGATTTTTTTAAAGATGGCCCAAAAGAATTCCTTCCTTGC